TACCTATAGCGACCTACCTCTGATTTAAATTTAAAGTTGTACCTGAAAGTACTTGGTGAATAGCTTTAAGGAGAGCATCAGACTTTTACATCGGAATCTAGAAAGCCATTCTATAGCCAATTGTACTGACCTGGGAGATTGTTGTTGTTAATCCTCACCTGAGGATATTTTTCCATTGATGTTCAGAGAGAGTGGAAGAGAGGGGAGAGAGAGAGAGAAAGAAACATTGATGTAGGAGAGACACATCGATTGGTTGCCTTCTGCACACTCTCTAGCCATGAGCCAAACCGCCAGGGCCCACCTGGGGATGTTGAAATAGGCCCATTGGTTCCGTCAGAGAACCGACCTGTCTCCTCCCTGCACCTGCCTGACCCACGTCCATGTTTCCGTTTGCTTTGGAACAGGCTTCCATCTCTACCACAAGCTGCCCACCATCGTGCCCGAGAGCTGCCTCCTCATTATGGTCGGCCTTCTGCTCGGGGGCATTATCTTTGGTGTCGACGAGAAGTCGCCTCCCGCCATGAAGACAGACGTGTTCTTCTTGTACCTCCTGCCCCCCATCGTGCTGGACGCGGGCTACTTCATGCCCACCCGCCCGTTCTTCGAGAACATCGGCACCATCTTCTGGTACGCCGTGGTGGGCACGCTGTGGAACTCCATCGGCATCGGCGTGTCCTTGTTCGGCATCTGCCAGATTGAAGCCTTCGGCCTGAGCGACATCACTTTGCTGCAGAACCTGCTCTTCGGCAGTCTGATCTCCGCCGTGGACCCTGTGGCCGTGCTCGCTGTCTTCGAGAACATTCACGTCAACGAGCAGCTCTACATCCTGGTCTTCGGGGAGTCCCTGCTGAACGACGCGGTGACGGTGGTAAGTCCCTCGCGGAGTGGCACCTGTGCTGCCCAGGCCTCTCGGGCCGGATGCTCTGCTGTCTGTCCTGAAATTCTTAGTAAGAATTTATTTACTGCCAAGTATCTGTTTGCCAGTCCACAGCGCACCTGCTCTGTATCTGCCCTGGGCATGCCAATGCGCGGCCCTCCCAGCTCCCAGCGCGAGCCTGCGGGAGGCAGCCGCATTGGGGGCAGTGCCGGGGGGCAGCCGATGCCCATGGAGTGCCCCCCCTCCGGAGGTCCTTTAGTCTGTCACGTGGGCGAAGCTCAGCACACAGCTCACTTCTGGTTGACACTCAGCGAGCATTGTTCTGGGCTTCACCATTTTCCCATTAGTGGGCACTTATTCAGAAAATGCAAATTATTTTTAATTCTTATTAAATTGGGCACATAGTTTAGAGGCAGAGGCAGTTAGGGGTCCCTGTGTCAGCCACAGGGTACCGCCCACCCCCTTGCGGAGCCGCTCAGAGGGCTTCCGGCTGGTGAGGGGTGCTGTGTCCCGGCTCCGGCTGGTGAGGGGGTGCTGTGTCCCGGCTCCGGCTGGTGAGGGGTGCAGTGTCCCGGAGCGTGTCCGGGGCAGGCATGGCGGGAACGGTGAGAGGCATGGGCGTCACTGACCTGTGCGTGCGCACCTTGGGCTCGGGGCTTCATGACAACCTATGAATAGGTATTCTCCCCATTTTGCAAAAAATAAAGTTGAGATAAAGCTTA